AAAAGTTAGTGTTAGCTTGTGTCGGTATACGAATTGGCAATGGTATAGCTTTTCTCTTAAACTGTTTTCTTCTTCTTCTTATTAACTCCGTCAAGCAATGCTTCTATTTGCTTGAAAAGAAAAATTAAATGAATTGGAAGAGTACGAGCTAAAGTGTTTTTGTTTTCTTTATAGATTTGTTATTTACCATTTTTTATCACACTTTTATGATATTTGTGGAATTTGAAATTACTAGAAAGAGATATAAGGAGAAAGCTCATAAAGAAATAAACAGAGGCAGAACAAAGATTTAAAGCTAATGAATTCCTACAATAATCTCAACTTAATTTACAGTAGTTTATGGGTTCACAATATGATATTTATAAATATTTAATGAATTTCTTAGTACATATATAAGATATAAATAAAAATAACTGGATTTCGGTAAACCAGTCTTTGTGCTCTAGATATGCCCCTAGATATAAACGTAAAGGGTTAAGGACGTAACGGTTAGCAATTAACAATGGATAAATTGTAAATTGTTTATTAAAATTTTATGATCCCTAAGTAATCCCTTTACATCTTGTTGACAATAATGCCATACCAATTTATAAAATGATCAAATAAGCGTCAGGCCTGTTTTTCAAAAAATTTAAAAGAAGTGTCAGGTTATGAGAAAAAAAAATAGTTGGAGGAAAGCAATGCATGTGACTAAAGTGAACTATCCCTTTGACTATTGCATCCTAAGGCTTTATATATTATGTTGATGTTGAAATTGGTAAGGGGTGAAGGGATAAAAAGAAAAAAGAAAAAGAAAGGACCATAAGGAAAAAGAAAAATACATACAAAGATAAATAAAGGAAAAGGTAAAGCGTTGATAAAAATTCCTTGACAAGTACAGTTGCTGTGTGGATAAACAATACTTGCGCAGTGTGCAGCTATTATTTCGTCCCAATTTATTTGACATTCTTTAGTATATCCCAAAAAATAATACTTTTCTATATTTAATAACAATTTAATTTTAAATTTCTCTTTTTATCTTTAATGAGTTTTATTCCCAAAATTTTTATAGTTTGTTTTATATCAAAAACTTTAAAAATCTTCCTTTATTTCTTTAATTTCGTGCTCAATCGAATACATTTACATAGATTGAGCGGGGGGAGTAGTTCATTTCTCATTTGAACTTTTAATAATGAACTTCGATCAATTGAAACTCAATTTCCTTAAGAGAAAAAAATCATTTAACTAATGATATTGTCGGAACAATATTTAGAAGATACAACAATCATGCTTTACCAATGTCGCGTCCTATCCTTTATATAAATGTACATATTATTCTCAAATATTCATAAACTAAAGCAGTCCGCATTGTAAAATGATTTCTTAATGGTTGCGGAAGCACAATTATTATGGGGAAAAAGAATTACTCGTCAGCCCAGTAACAAAATTAGTTTGGTTTATTATGATTATTGATAAAAGATTACCCGTCAGTCACCCATTTCACACATCAAGATTCCTTCAGTTTCTGATGGCTTAAATGTCTAAACGAATTTACTAACTTAAATTTAGTGAAAATTTCAACAAAGAAGTATGAAGGGAAGTTGCTTAAATCGCCCATTTAATTAAGTTGTCCTAAATTACCAATTTTCCACATTTTAAGTTGCTTATGCAGAGCTCATATATTGGCCCAGTTCCCTTACACTTGTGAACCGATCCGGGAAGAAGGGGCAGGGGCGTATCCAAGATTTAATGTTTATGGGTTCCTGTAACGACTTCGAGTAAATTTTTAAAAGTAATTAGGTTCACGTTTAAATATTTGTAGATATTTAATGAATTTTTAGAAAACAGTTACACTGTTTGGACAAAAGCTATTGGGTTTACGGGAACCTGTAGATGACAGGCTAGATCCGCCCCTGAGAAGGGGGGACGGGAAAACAAGATTGATATTAATGCATGTACAAAGTAAGATACTAGTATTTTATTGTAGCATATGCTTCCTTTGTTGGGTGGCCATCGATGGAAGAGGTGAACTAATATGATAACTTTGAAAATCAAGGTTTGAATCTCAACGGATAGGATATTAGGGGAATGCTTCATATCTTTTTAAGTCCAAGTTAATGATAGAGTTATTGGTACCTCATGAATTAGTTAAATGCATGAAAGTAATCGAAACACCGCCGTCTAGAAAAAAAGAAAATATCTAGGGAAAATTTATAAAAGTTAAATTTATTATAACTATTAAGTACTTAGTAAGTTTTTCCGATCTTTTCGCACATGCTTGCACTTATGCTAGTTGCACTAAATAAATGTGGGTGGAAGGTCCATACTCCATAGTCCAAAAATTTTATGTACAAATTGTATTGATGAATAGTATAGGGGGCACACACATGTCACCATAAGTTTCAAAAAAGGAGGACCATTTCCCATCAACACTAGTCAAGGACAAGTCATCCTATCTATCCATTGGTAAAACATGATTTGGTAAAAAGAAAATCATCACCCTCTGCTTAAAGTTAATGCGTAGGGACCCTAATTTATCATTAGTGTAATGCGCATAGTTTATGTTCAATTTGAAATCTATTATATTAGTGATTAGGGTGAGCTATGTAGTTCTAGGCAAAGACCTTGTTTGAAAACTATGAAAAGAAGGACAAGGGAAGGCAAGTATTGGTAAATTATCATTTAATTTCCTTTGTTCGTCAAGGAACGGAAAGTACAATAATTTTAATAGTGGATACTTTATTCCCTCTTGGACTCGCTAAAAAAGAAAAAAGAAAACAAAAAAACATATTACAAAGTATCTCTCTAATCAAACATGCGAAGGGAATGATATGTCAAAGAGAACTCTATCCATCGGAACAAACTCGACTGAGCTCGGCCTGACTCGATATTATAATAAGCTCGTTAGTCGTTTGGCTCGACTAGCTCGCAGCCTACAGACAACACATTATAAATTTTATTTAAGTAAATTAAATAGTATAACCTAAAGAGTGGGGGCAACCCGGCGGTGCATAAAGCATCCCGCGTTTACGCATAATTCGTGAAAGAGTCGCACCCAAGGCATGTGATATAGACAGCCTACCCTAATACAAGTATTAGTGGTTGCTTCCACGACTTGAACCCGTAATCTATAAATCACATGAGACAACTTAATCGTTGTTCCAAGGCTCCCTTTTACGATAACCTAAAGAGTGTTATTTGAATAATTGAAATTATTATACATTACATTTGTTTGATATATGTAACTTTCACCAATTCATTTATAGTCATCCTAATTGTTTATGACAAAACTATCAGCCGGTGCTTCTTTTAAATTATTATTTAACACTTGTCCCGTTCTTCCCATACAACTGTAATAGTATTTCCTTTGGCATGCATGCAAGTCACAAAAGCTAGTGTGCTAGTCTCTTTACAGGTGTATATGGGTGAACTCGGGGTCAGCACACACCCGAGTTCCTAGTGAGTCAAACAAAATAAGAAGTATGAATGTATGAGATAGAAATCGAATTCGAGAACTCTTTGAATTGAGGCTGAGACGGGGAGTTCGCCACCGGGCCTGGTAAGACAACACCCCCGAACTCAAAACGAGTTCCGAGACCTCAAAAAGTACTACAAACGGTTGCACACGACTAACAGATAGTCGTGATATCCGTGCCCAACCGAATAGTACAACGCAGATCTCGCCCGATATCCGTAGCGTATCAGTAATTGACGTACAAGGAGGATTTTTACCCTTTTTAGAATTGTACTAGGGGTAAAACTCCCCTACTATATAAATGGGAAGTTTTTTGTTCAATACACATATTGGAACACGCATATCAAGGCAATACAAACTTATTACTCTTTTTTCTAGCTATTGAAAGGTTCTTATTTTAATCATAGTTCTTCATACACATTAGGCTTCGAACCGAGGGTCCGGTCGAGGGTAAAACTATTGTTCAACTTAACTTCGAGCCCGGACTCAACGTCACAGCTAGTTTGGTTATTTATTTTTTCTTTAATTCGATTATCTAGTATTCTTGGTTACTTGTATTGAATCAATCAACTTGTTTTTAAAATTGCGTACAAATTTAATTGTTATCCGTTTT